CCCCCGGGGGGCAGGGAAATCCCCGCCCCAGAGGCCCGTTCCCCGCCGCCAGCAGATCGGGCCCCGGGGGGAACCCCACCCCGACGTGCACGTCACCCAGAAGTGACGCGACAACGCCGGGCACACTGGGGGCGGGGCCACAGTCACCCAAGAGAAAACACTATGGTTTCCCCTCGGATGGTCGTGGCCCTGCCCCCAGCGTGCCCGGTGTCACCATGTCACTTCCAGGTGACGTGCATGCGGTGTGCGCATGCTTAGCGCGCGTGCGCACTCCAGCCACCAGCCGTGAGTCCCCTGCTGTGGCTGGAAAAGCACTTGGCAACCCTATTATTAATGTATATAAAAATTGAGCAAAATATGTATTGTTGTTTTACTCTTATTATTATTATTGTTGTTATCTAACTTTCTAAAAAGATATGACTTATGGTTGATTCTGATTTCTTTATCTCTGTCTTGATATCCACTGTTGTCTGTTTTGATTGGTAAAGATATCCAGTATAGATCACCACAACAGCTGTTCCCCTCTCATGTCCAAAACTGTCATATGTATTTTAACAGTGCTTTTAAAATTAGTGCTTTGTTCACTAATATAATTTTGACAAACAACGGCTTTTTAAAAAGAGAAAATGATCGACTCAACACAAAACGTCCTTTATTCCAATTAGGGCTGCTTGAATGAAGTCCCTGTATCATCTACTTAATACATTTTTAATGGATTTTTCTTAGTGAGTGGTAAATCAAACACACAAATTGGACTCTTCTGACAATGACATGCAGTCTTAGGTCACATTCTAGTCATGTTAGATAGTCAAAATAAAGTGTGGCCCAGTAATTCAGTATGATAATTATAGTTATGAAAATAACATAAGAAGAGCCCTGCTGGATCAGACCAGTGGTCCATCTAGTCCAGCATCCTGTCTCACACGGTGGCCAACTAGTTTCTCTGGAGGCTCAGCCAAAGGGCATAGAGGCTGAGGCCTTCCCTGATGTTGCTTCCTGTCTCTGGTATTCAAATGTTTCCTGCCTCTGGATGTAAAGGTTCCCTTCAGTCACCATGGCGAGTAGCCACTGACAGACCTGCCATCCATGAATCTGTGTAATTCCCTTCTAGAGCCATCTATGCCTATAGCTATCACTACATCCACTGGCAGCAAATTCCACATTTGAATCACTCACTATGTAAATAAGTATTTCCTTTTGTCTGTCCTGAAGCTACTGTCCACCAGCTTCATTGGATTCCCTTGAGTTTAGTATTTTGGGGGAGGGGGGGAAAAGTTATCTTTGTCAACTGCCTCCACCCCATGCATAATTTTATAAACCTCTAACATGCTCTCCCCCCACCCACCCAGTAATCTCTTTTCTAAACTGAAAAGTCCCAGTCTCTTAAGTCGTTCCTCATCGGGAAGGTGCTCAAACCCCTAATCATCTTAATTGTCGTCTTCTATACTTTTTCCAGCTCTCCAGTGTCCTTTTTGGGATATGGTGACCAGAACTGTACACAGTATTCCAAATGAGGCCACACCGTAGATCTGTACAGGGACATTATATTATTGGCTGTTGTATTTTCTGGCCCCAATACTGATCCTTGTGGGACCCCACTGCTTACTTCTCTCCATTGAGAGAACTATCTGTTTATTCCTACTTTTTTGCTTCCTGCCACTTAATCAGTTTTGAATCTGTAAGAGAATCTGTCTTCTTACCCATGAATGCTAAGTTTACTCAGGAGTCTTTGGTGAGATGCCCCATCAAAAGCCTTTTGAAAGTCCAAGTCTATAATGTCTACCGGGTCACAGTTATCTACATGCCTTTTCACTTTCTGAAAGAACTCCAAAAGGTTAGTTCAATTAGAAGAGGTGACAAGCTGTTTCAACAGCAGCCAAGCTTATATTCTCCGTCCTCTGCTTAGTACTAACGCCTCACACAAACGCACAAACTAAAAGGCCTTGGCCAAGTCCAGCATGGCCCAGAAGGTAATTGTATCGATAAAGGAGAACTGTCCTATGCAGTTTCTCTGTGGAAGGGTAGTCATGCCAGTCTTCATTAAAAACAAACAAAAAAGCCAAGACTTAAATCCTTGACTGCCTCTTCTTTGTCTTATTACGTGTGTATCCCAACTTTCTTCCATCATGACCAATGTTCCCTCTAAGCTGTGGAATCTTGTGAGCAAAATTTTTACTTTGTGACCTACCAGCATTAAAGTTGTGAGCGAGCGATTTTGCTACTGCATAAATTGGTTTGCTCTTCTGGAGCCGTCCTTCCTGAGCTAGGGAAAAAATGGGTGAGCCGGAGGCTAAAAGCCTGTGAGCTAGCTCACACTAACTCAGCTTAGAGGGAGCACTGATCATGACCATGGGGGAGGGGTGTCCCAGAAAGTCTCCCATCTCGGCATTATTCAGACCCAGATTAAGCAAAGAGGGGCCTGCATCAAGTGCCTTCCAACCATGCTCTCAGTTCCACTCTGGTGTTTCAGGAAAGAGCTGCAGAGCACTTCCTCCTCCATAGCTGCTTCTGCCTCCATGGCAGAATTCCCAGTTTTGATATTATCAGGGGTGACACTATAGGACTTGGGAATCAGGTTGGGAAGATATGGATATTGCCAGCAGGGGTCATTTCGTAGAAAAAGAGGTGCAGGAGCTCATTAGCACAACTCATTAGCATAACTTATTTGCATATGCCACACCCCCTGGCATCACAGGAAGTGTGTCAGAAGGCAACACCCACCGCTCAGACTCCACTGGACAGTTTTGGATTGCTAGCTATTGGGGGGGAGGAAGGTGCAGATCTGTCCTCACAGAGGAGGGCGAGCGTGTGACTGCATTTAAAACTTGGTCTTAAAGGTGCCACTGGACTGTTTTGGGCCGGGGGGCTGGGGGGGGGGGCTCTGCAGCTTACCTGGCTGCTTCTTGTTCTGACTGAGGGCTACTGGGAGCAGGGGGCAGGGCTTGTTGCATGTGCCCGTCCACTGGGCTCTTTACTGCCGGAGCTCTGCTCCTGTGCGCTCCTGCAGGAAATGACCCCTGATAGCCAGCCAGATCTGATGCCTGAACCAAAGGGCAGGGTTTCTTGTAACTCTTGATCTTGTGGACCTCTTAATCCCATACCCAATTTGTTCATGAGACAGCTGATCAACAGACTGTTAAGACATTGACAGATGCTTTGTTTACCCAAGTACTTCTTCATCTCTTGCTCATGGGCTGTGACTGCTCCCAGCCATTCTAATTTAACTGTCTGTCATCCTGACTTACTTTCAAAATCTCCCTCCCCCCTTTCTGGGAAGAAGCAGCTTTCCCAAATTATTGTCCTTTTCATCCTGGGCTGGAAGTGTTTGCTTTGCTTTGTCTGACTGTATCCTTTCCAAGTGCACCTTATTACCTGCAATTGCATGAAAGTGTATAATTGCTGTAATTAAGGTGGGTGATTAGGAAGATCAGGAAGATCAGGAAGGTAGGTGATTAGGAAGAAGAATGGAAGAATGTGGTGTGTGGCTTACAAAAGATATTATGGTATAATAACATTGTTCTTTTTAATAAGAGCTCTCAGCTCTTTTAGTCGATTTTTCCCTCCTTGGTTCAGTATAAAGAGAAACAGCTGTGAAAACAATAGGTTTGTTTAACTTTAGCAAGTTCATATCCATAATCTATAACTAGGTAGCCGATGAAGAAGAAGAAGAGATTGGATTTATACCCCGCCCTTCACTACCCAAAGGTGTCTCAGGGTGGCTTACAAACTCCTTTCCCTTCCCCTCCCCACAACAGACACCCTGTGAGGTAGGCGGGGCTGAGAGAGCTCTTGACAGAAACTGCTCTTTTTCAAGGACAGCTCTTATCAGAGCTACTGCTTGCCCAAGGTCATCCAGCAGGTGCAAGTGGAGGAGTGGGGAATCAAACCCGGTTCTCCCAGAATAGAGTCCGCGCACTTAACCACTACACCAAACTGGAGTTTGAATCCAGTGGCACCTTTAAGATCAACAAAATTTTATTCAAGGTATAAGCTTTTGTGTGCAAGTACACTTCTTCTGATACAGAGAACATGGCTACCCACCTGAATCTAGATAGCCCATGTTCACTTTAGATTTCCATGATTAAACTTTGCTTACCA